CGCGCGGAAGGCGCGCCTGGACAAGACCCGCAGCCGCGATCGGGTCGGGTCTGAGGGTGCCACAGCTGTCGCCCCGCGGCGCGCGTGCTGGTTCGGGGAAGCCAGACTCGGCCGGCGAGAGGGTCCCCCCGGCGCGCGGGGTGAGCCGCCTCGCTCCGCCCTTCCCGTTCCCAGCTTAGAAGCGCCCCAAAACCAGCGTTGCCACGTGGAGGGCAGGCTGCGGCCGCCTCCCAGGAGCCCCTCCGGGCGGGCACCGCGGGCACCCGGCGCTTCGCGGAGGCCCCGGACAGGGTGACCGACACCCACAGCCCTGGAGCAGAAACGCCGCGTCCCTCCCCGCGGGGGGGTCACGTGACGCCAAGCGCCCGGATTGGCCGAGGCCGGCCACGTGACCGCAACGCCGGCAACCCATTGGCCACTCAGCGGCCTATCAGGTGGCAGAGGGGGGAGCGCGCTGGCCCCGCCGCATCCTGTTCTCGAGAGGGTCCGGGCGCCGTCCCCGGGGAGGATGCTGCGGGTGGCGGCCGGAGGGGGCGTGCAGAGGCTGTCACGGGGGCGCAGGGGAGGCGAGGAAGCAGCCGCTGGGCAGATGCAGAGGCTTGAAGCAGAGGAGCCATGGACAGTGGGGTGTGGGGCAGCAAGAAAGGAGGGCGGCGCGTGGGAAGCCTGCCCGGGCAGACACGGAGGGGACGCAGCCGTCCCTGCGGTCACGTCTTTATTGCCTTACAGTCACGACCCCTGCGCCTGCATCTTGCCCTAGACGGCTTGCTTGGGGTTTTTGTTCTGAGAACTCCCGTCCCCCCCTCAGTTCAGACGCCAGCAGTGATGGGACTCTGGGACTCGCTGCTTCCTAGCCCCGCCGCTCCCTCCGCTCAGCTGCTCGGAGCTGGGAGAAAGGTCTCTGCTTCTTTTGAGACGAGCGCTTGGAGCTGCCAGCGTCGCGTGCGTTGCATTGGGTGGTGCTTCTGTGGACAGTCCCGTGTGAATGTGTAAGCCCTTGTTACAGCTCTGGCTTTTCTACTCTGCGTTCCTCGCAGTGTGTGGGAGGGGACTCACCCCCATGGAAGCTTTGAGATGCTTTAGCTGCTCCGAAAAATGAAACAGAAACCCTGTGCAATGTCTTTCACACCCCCTGGGTATTTGAAAACCCCTAAATACATTACTTCCCATGAAATGACCCACCCATTCCTCCAAGTCCTTCTGGGAATAAATGATGGCCAGCGAGGCGCCGGAGGTCGTCCTGTCCATCAGACCTCCCAGCAAACCTCGGGGGTCGCGGGACACAGAACCCCACCCCTCCACCCCCAGGGGCAAACGCAGACAGGGAAGAAGCCAGCCTGGGGCCTTTGACTGAGGGAATCTCTCAGAGGTCAGCCCCGGCTGCCTATGGTCTTCTTGATCCAGTTCAGGTAGCGGCAGATGTTGGTATAGACGCCGGGTCTCTCGGGGCGCCCGCAGGGGTCGGAGCCCCAAGATGTGATGCCCTGGAGAACGCCATTACACACCAGGGGGCCCCCTGAATCACCCTGGAAGGGGAGAGTAAGAGGACAGTTTCACCTGCTTGCCTTCGTTTCTTTCCAGCATCTGGTACTGGTTCTGTGGAGCGAGTGGCCCCGTCTAGCCAAGGGGACAGAATATTGGCCCCGGGGCAATGGTGAGAGGGAAACAGACAATGAAAAACATTTAAAACACTACATAGAGTTAATGTGGTAATGGGATATTGTGCGGGATAAATGAGTAGGCAGAGCTGGAGATGTGGTCCTTTCTTTGGAAAAATAGGGGGGCTTCTAGGAGGAGGTGACATTTTGAGGAAGTCTGATTTAACTGAGATTGAAGACTTGCTGCTCCATGTGTGAAGGGGAGGGAGATGTGGGCAAGTCTGTGGACAGTGGGGAAACAGGTCTGGCAGCTCCATCCAGGAAGAGAACAGAGGACGGTAAGAGGAAACAAAACCGAAGCTGCCTCTGTTCCTGATCAGTGGTGGGGACGGACACACACACTGGTGGAGTCTGAGGAACAAGACCACTGTCTCCAGGGAACCACCTAGAGAGTGGATTTCGTGGCAGGGCCATGACTGGAAGTGATGTCATACCTGCCGTGGAGATGAGGCAGGGAAACTGTCCTCGGTGACCTAGCATTAGCCAAGAGGGCGGGGCGCCCCCGAAAAGGACAAAGCACTTAAGAGAGAAAATGCCACGTTTGTGACAGATCCCAAGATTTGTCATCTCAGGGTGGGGAGCCCATGGGGGAGCCTGGGAGCAAGGGCGCCACCCCCTGGCCGGCTGGGACACCTCGTAAGGGACCAGTCAGAGAAGGGGGCGGAGAAGGGGGCGGAGCCCAGTCAGAGAAGGGGGCGGAGCCCAGTCAGAGAAGGGGGCGGAGCCAAGTCAGAGAAGGGGGCGGAGCCAAGTCAGAGAAGGGGGCGGAGCCAAGTCAGAGAAGGGGGCGGAGCCCAGTCAGAGAAGGGGGCGGAGCCCAAGCCCAGCTGCCCCAAAGGAAGCCGGTGATGGTGGCCTGGTCCCAGTAGGCCAGCGCAGACCACAGGAGCTGGAGCAGGGAAAGGATGCGGGACCCCGACCTCCCCCCCCCAGCATTCCTTCTTTCTTCACGGCCACCTCCTCTCACCCCCTCCCTGCACCCCATCTTGCAGACAAGGGCTCCCAAAGAAATGACAATTTAGCTTCTGGGTGAGAGTTTTCTGAGCCTGCGTCCTACTCCATAAAGATGGGGGTGCCTCCTCTGGGTGCTGACTCTTGGAGTCACCCCCAATCACCCTAGACGTCGACAGGAGAGAAAAGGAGGAGAGGGCCTTGGGAGCCGCTCACCTGGCATGTGTCAGCTCCGTGGCTGTCGCCCGCACAGACCATTCCGTCTGTGACTTGCCCCGGGTAGGCGTCCTTGCACTGCTTCTGGGGAAAGATTTCAATTTCTGCGCAGTTGAGGGTGTCAGGGAAATTATCTGAGGGGAAGAGGTGGTACGTTCTCAGAAAGAGCAGCCTTTTCCCTTCCTCCCTGAGTCTAATCTGGCTTCAGTGCACCCACGGCAGCACGGGGAGTTTCTCCCATGAAACAGCCATGAAAAGGGCTCCCCTTTCTCCATCTAGAGGTCGCCGGTACCCTACCTTTTGCTTTTTTTGTCCTGAGTCATTTTCAAATGAAGAAGCAGGCGATGGGGGGGATTGGGGACACATCTGAACCTCACTCTCAGACCACCAGGTCCCCAATCTCCAGTAAATCCGACTTCTTCAAAATGTCACCTCCTCCTAGAAGCCCTCCCTGATCATTCCAATGAGTGCAGCATCCCTCCAGCCCTCCCCAGGCATTTATCCTCCACGGTCTCCCCTCATAGCGTTTAACTTTACATATTTTTTTGTTTGCTTCCCCCACCTGGTGTGCAGCTTCCCACGGGGACGTACCAGATGCTTCCAAATAAGCATTAACGATGGAGAGAGAGTGGGTTTTTCTCAGCACCTCTGAGGGGTAGATGCCAGGGCAGGAGGCTTGTACCAGGCACTTCCATGTGCCAGGAACGCTGCACGCCCAGCCTCTACCACTCCTCTCCAGGAGGGCATGCAGCCCATCCTCCGGTCATCACGCGTTCATTCAACAGGTTAGTGAGCACCAGCTGTGGGCCGGACGCCATGCTGAGCCCCAAGGACACAATAAAGAAAGCAACCTGGCCCGAGGGAGCATAAGTCTATTGGGGAGCTCTGTGACCAGGAGCAGGGTGGGGGGAGCAGGGCGGTGCGAGCTGTCGTGCCTCACCCTCCAGCCTGCGGGTGTCCAGGTAGCCCCCGGCCCTTTAGAAGAAGGGTTCAGAAGGGCAGGGACCTGTGCTCGGCTGCCCCTTGGCAGACACCACTGTGCTGTGACCTGAACCCCATTTTTCCACTTTGAAGCAGGGTGAGGGGCTACCTGGACTCTGAAGCCCCCAAAGGACGACCTCAATGCTGGCTGTGAGTTTTGGACTCAGAGAGGCGGGAGCTGGAAACTCAGCACGTGGGCTGAGGGGAGACACCTGGCTTCCTGGACGCAAGGAAATAGCTGGGGCCAGCAACTCTGGGCTCACGGGGAAAGTTAGTGAGGGACTGAGGAGCTTGTTTTCTTGAACTGTGGCGGTGCTGGTATGTCCCAGGTCTGATGAGGTTTTTAGAAATCTTGTACAAAAGGTCTCATAACATGGCACTCTCCCTCATAACGGCGGTCCGCAGGACTGCCCCCCACCCACTCATCAGCCATCCGTCCACCAACCACCAGCCACCCCCACGCACTCATCCACCACCCGTCCGTCCACGCGTCCGTCCACCCGTCCGAACTGGATGCTACTTGACTTTCTCTTCCATCCCTCCCGCTAAGATTCTGCTCTCCCAGGTTTCCAGCGGGAGCCACCGTGACTCTCGACCTCACATCTCTTTCCCTTTCCTTATCCCCTCCCGGGACAAAGCTCTGCCGAGGACTTGGGGGCCCCCCCGCCTCCCGCTACCTTGGGGGCTGGTCACGGTGCCCCAGCCCGAGATGTTGCATTTCTGGCCAACTTCAGCGCAGCGATCTGCCAGCTTGATGGGCTTCACTTTGGACCCCAGGGTGGCCCGGCCACGGAGCCGGATGAGCATGAGGTCGTGGCTGTGGTCCTCGCTGCTGCGGTTGTAGCAGGGGTGCGGGATGGACTGGGCCACCGCCATGTCCTGCTCGGACGCTTCCTTATACTTCAGGCTGTGCTCCCCCAGGCGGACTGTGTACTTCCTGTAACGGCGGGGGCACTCAGGCCGGGCAGGGGTCCAGGCCCCCGGCCTCAGACCAGGCGTCCAGGCAGCCCCCCGGCCCCTCACTGAGACCTGGGGGTGCACGGCCCTCTGTCCCATCCACTCGACCTCCCTCAGATGCCAAACCAGCCCCTGCCCCCGCGGCCCACCCCACTCACGACTTTCTGCAGTGGGCAGCAGTGATGACCCAGTTGTCTTCTATGAGGACACCCCCGCAAAGCAGCCTGTTGCCCTGGAACAGCGCGGTCTGCCAAGGCTGCGAATGGGGTTCGCACTCCTGGCCCTCCAGGACCTTGGACCCCTGCGCCCTCCAGTGTCCTGCTGCAGGAGAGTGAGGGTTGGATGCCACTCCAGGGGCTGGCGCCGGCCAGGAAAATCACTGTGGGTTCAAGCGGACCCCCCCAGCACGTTCTCGGCCTGACTCCTCTCGGGCGCATCCACCCTCCCAGGTACCCCCATCCTGGCGCCACCCCCGGGACCCCACTGAAGCCCACTCCCCAGCGCTGCCCCCAAGCGCGTCGGTGGCCTGCATAGGGGCTCTTCCGCGGGCAGCCCCGCAGGCTCGGCGAGCAGGGGCCGGTGGACAGCATAACGCGGCCACCTACCCGCCCCGCACAAGCCTCCGCCCGCCCCGCCGGGGTCCCCCGCCCCCGCGCGCGCGCCCGACCTACCCCGCATGCCACCCCATGCACCACGGAACTCGCCACCTGCCCCAGGCCGGGCGCCCCCGCGCCTCCCGGCCCTCACCTGCCCAGGTTTCCGTCGGCAGAAAGAGCAGCAGCGTCCAGGTCCAGGCGGCGGCGGGCGGGGGGCGTCCCATGGCGGAGCTGGGGAGAGGGCGAGGGCGGGGCTGCGCGGAGAGGAAGGAGGAGTCCGACATCCTAGTGGGACCTCGGGGCTGGCCGCAGC